GGGGAAAAAAACCATGCAAACTCATGGAAATGTAACAGAGCAGGTCATATTCAGAGAATTCCAGATAGTTTAATTTGGGTAAAGGTCTAAGCATGAGGAGAGTGTAGCCAGGAATGAGGCTGAAAGGTGGTAGGGCCATGTGCTCGTGTTAAACAAATGAGCATCAGAGCAAGGCAGTGCGGGTTCGAAGCTGAGCTTAGGAAGAGGCCTCTGCTGCCATGTGGAGTGTGGGTCACAGGGATTACTGGAGGCTCAAGTGGGAGTAGGAAAGAAAGGAGGCAAGGGATGGAATGGAGCCCTCCAGAGAGAGAGAGAGAAAGAGAGAGAGAGAGAGAGAGAGAGAGAGAGAGAGAGAGAGAGAGAGAGAGAGAGAGAGAGCACGAATGGGCTGGCACCGGTGAAGGGTCAGCAGGGTAGAAAGTGGGAGGGAGGAGTAGTGGGCTGTTCCTGGGTTCTGGCCACTTGATTGCATGTCAAATGTTTTCTGAGTATGTCTCATATTCCACCCCATTGACACCCCAGTGGTGTAGTTTGTCAATGGGGCGGTAAGCTTGGTGTGCGTTTTAATCAGTTTCACTTTGTAAGGAGATGCAGGAGGGAAAATGGACTTGCATGTTCATTTGTTTTACAAATAGAGAAACTGAAATAGAGGAAAAAGCAAAGAACAATCATTGCACAATGAGACACTGGAAATACTCATCATTTTTTATCATGGCCCAAATCTGTTTCCATTCCTAGTGTAGAGTGGCAAAGGCCATAGGTCCTTCCCTCCCTGTTTGTGTGATGTGACTTAAGACTTCATCTGAATCACAGGTGGAATTTATTTCTCCTTTCTCTTGAATCTGGGCTGGGCTTGGGGCTTGACCTGGCTAATAGCAGCAGAGATGAGATTTCTGAGGCTTAGCTTTAGACATTGTATCTTCTACCTTTACCCTCTTGGAATACCATCCTGAGGCTACCATGTAAGTAGCCTACTGTGGATGAGAGACAGCATAGGGAAGAACTGTGGCACCCAGGCCTCAGCCAGCACCAATGGTAAGATGGACGAGTGAAGAGGTCTTGGATTCTCCTCCTCAACCAGCTGACCTTCCAGCTGAACACATCTCACAAGTGAGTCCAGGTGACACTGGGAAGGAGCCATTCAACCGCCCACAGAATTTTGATAAATAATAAATTACCACTGTTCCAAGCAATTGAATCTGGGGAGTGGTTCATTAGAAGGGAATTTATAACTGGAATAACTTCTGTGCTCATTCCAAATGCCATCCATTTATGCCACTACCTTTTCTGAGCAGTGACTTTTGTTTTATCAAATGTATCAGTTTTATGTTTCATGTGAAAACTAAGACCAAGAGGAGAGTACTGATTTCTGTACTCTTAAAGATTTAAGGCAGTTTTGTTTATAGATATTGTAATGTTAATGGTGTCCACTGAAAAACTAAAATGTGCAGTCTCATTTTTAGAAAATGTCCTGATCTTGAGCACAGACCAGACAGACCAAATATCTAGTTCTTCCATTTACCAAATATGTGACCTAAGTTTTCTGACTTCTGTTTTCTTATGTATAAAAAAGGGCTGACTCCCTGGGAATGGGTGTGGTGTGCTCTTAACTGTAAATTGACTTGAGAAAGTACATATCTTAACAAGTGGGGGTAAGATGTGTACTGATAATCCATAACTTGAATGATCACGTTGAGGATGAAATGAGACAGACGGCGTAAGCAATCCTACTGTAGTTAAAGGATCCTAGTATATTTCTATGATTTTAGATGATAGCCATCTGATCAAAAAAAAAAAAAAGCAGAGTTTTGTCTCCCTTAACATTCTTCTAGAAGTGAAGACAGTCTAAAATGATTTCATTTGGCTTGCCCTGCCCTTGGTGGCTGGCCACCCACTTGTAAAACAGGAAAGTAGTCATTGGGAACATAAATGATGCAATGCAAATGTGGAATGTGTTCTTTCTGAACCTTTAAGATCTTAATCCAATAGACTTGAGCCTCATTTTCACATTTTATAACTCTTGTGATTTCAAAAATTTCCACATTATCTCTGTAGATTCCTTGACGGTTTGTACCTCTACCTCCAGTCTCCTTTTTCAATTAAGATGGACACTTCCGTACTCAAGCACTCTCATAATTACCCTCTCCAGAAAGCATCCCTGGGTGTGTTAGTCTTTTCTAACACCTTCAGAGTCACAGGAGGAATCACATCATATGTGTAACAACTCACATAGCCCCTTTTAGGCACCCCGCTGCTGTACACCCTTTTGCCTGCTGAACATGGGAGGGCTTCTGCCTTTGTGCTTAATTAGCACCCACCTTTACTTGAGAGAGAGAGAGAGAGAGAGAGAGAGAGAGAGAGAGAGAGAGAGAGAGAGTCGATGGTGCAGTGTACAGGTCAAAGTGTTGGTCCTCTCCTTCCACCTTCATTTAAGACAGTCTTAAATCAAGGCCATTGTGTGCCAGGGTAGCTAGCCTGAGAGTTTTCTGGAATTCTGTCTCCACCTCCCATCTTGCTATAGGAGTGCAGGGATTACTGGATGGTGCTATTGCTTCCTGCTTTATGTGGGTTCTGGGGATCTGAACTCAGGTCCTTACACTTATTGGGCAAGTGCTTTACCCACTGAGGCATCACACCCATGTTGAGCCATCCCCTTAGCTCTACACTGAACTTTCTTACTCATCTTTTTCTTTTTCTTCTGTAATCTCTATTACGATTTCCTCTCATTTTGCCATGTGAATTGCAAATTTCCCTCCCTTCTTTTTTATAATTTTAAACATTTTAATTTATTATTTTTATGTGTATGGATATATTACCTGCATATATGTAAGTGTACCCATGTTGTGCAATGCCTGCGGAGGTCAGAAGAGAGTGGTTGGGTCCCCTGGAACTGGAGTTATGAATGGTTGTTAGCCACCAGTGGGTGCTGGGATTCGGACCTGGGTCCTCTGTAAGAACAGCCGATGCTCTTAGCGGCTGATCCATCTCTCCAACCCTCTGCCCCCCTTTTTAACATAGCAATCTGGTGCTCTCTTCCTCCAAAATTTACATTCATCAAGGTCTCACATAGATGAAAATAATCTTCTGTGCATTGGGGCCTATCCTTCTTAGAAGCCAACTGTGGTTAAAATGGCATTTTCTGTTATAATAACAACAGCGTTTGATATTTATTGAGTACTTGTGTGCTTGGCATTCTATCAGGTGCTTTCTAGTAACCCGTTTTCTCATTTGATCTTCACAACAATTCTTGTTATTGACTTTCCTAAAGATGAGAAGGGGTGCATGTGTCAGAAAAATGAGGTAACGGGTCCAAGACCACACAGTAAGCAAGTAGTGAAATAAGGATAGAAAACCAGGTCTGTCTGGGCCCAAGCCTTTGTTCTCTTCTATATTACATGGCCTTTCAGGGGAGAGGGGAAAGCAAGCAGACCTCAGGCTACATAAAGCAATACCGTCTGTTCTCATATTGTTTCATAACTTTGAAAAGATGGTTTTATATGTTATCTCATTATTCCTGTGAAGAATGGCTACTCATTATCTCTCATCCATTTTGAAATGAGGAAACCGGGGCCTTATGGGAGCAAAGGAACAGCGCGGGCTGAGGTGTTTGGTTTTGAGATTATAGAGGTTCCAGGTGATTAAAAGTTTCGGCTGTGACTGTGGTGTTAATGCAGTGGTCATGTGAAGAGAAGGCCAAGGAACGAGGGACCAGAAGACCCCATAGCTAACTGAAGTCACCAAGGGGATGACAAGGAACAGCTAAGCAGCAAGTGAAGGTGACTGTGCCCCCCAGGGACTGAAATCTTCCATGCATAAGGAGCAGAGAGGTCAATGGTAAGGAGCTGGCAGGCAAAACGTACAAGGGTGGGAGTGGCAATGGGGCCCCACCTCTTGCTGTTATGCTATGTGGGAGTAGGAAAATGAAGAGGCACCTTGCAGAGGGCAACAAGAAGGACAATGTCCTGAGGAAGATAAGGTTTCAGGAAAGGCAAAGGGGTAACCTAAGCACTCTGAACATGTGGTGGGTAGAGCCAGGGTCCTAGGGAACACAGAGAAAAAGGCTGGCAGCCAAACAGGCAATGGGGATGTGACTGAAAGGCTGGCAAGACACTCTCAACAGCACAAGGGTTATGAGACTGATGGAGTAGCCAGAGACACTCTTAGCCTGGGTGGCTTCTTGGGCTGGGGAGAAACATCTTAGACAAAGTCAGAATGGACCTGGGAATAATATGGTTTTGTTATCTGATGAACCCCTTTAAGATTTGGGATGAGGATGACTGTGGAAGAGGCCAATGATGCTAGACCAAAACTGTCATCTAGGTTCTGTAGCCTCAGGACAACCAGAAATGAAGCCCAAACCAGGGTTAGAAGCTGGGTGTTCTTTACTTCTCTACCTACCACCCCTGGCAAGAGCTGAGACCCCCTAAGGCTCAGGTAAGAGCTGGCAGCCTCCATGTTAATGATGGTAATGGGGCTATAGTGAGAGGTATTTTAATAAGGCTGATGACATTTCAAAAGGTTACTCAGGCCTCTGGCATAGAGGACGGAGAGAGAAGGCAGGAATTAGGAGGCATTAGTCCAGACCAGAAGCAATGAGGCCTGAACCAAGGTACCTTACACAGAGCAAAGGCAATGGAAGGGATATGTTAAGGTGGTATCGTTACCAGCATAAAGGGATGTTCAGGGCAGAGGGTAACACCCAAGTTTCTGGCTTAGCTTCCACTTGTAGTCAGTAAGGTTCTGCTCCCTCCTTCAGCATCTGAGAGGATAGTAAAACAATTTGGAACTAGCAGAACTCCATGCCATCATTTCCATTACCATCCAACCTCTTGATTACCCTCTAAGTTCAGACTATGGTGGGCTAAGAATAAGTAAATCACAGTAGGGTCTGGGAGCTCCTAAGAATCTAGGCTCTCTCCCTACACCTGCCAGGAGCTGAGGGGCAGGGCGGGGCTTACACGGGCTCCGCCCCCGGGCGGAGCCTAGACCCCGCGGGAGCCTGAGCCTCAGCCCTGCGGTCCGTCGCCTAGGTGGAGGACCAGACCTGACCAGAGCCTTTCCCAGCGCCTCCAGCCGCCGGTGCGACCGTCCGGTTCAGCGGTCCCGAGCGAGCCCTAGCCCCGCGCCGGGTCCGAGGTAAGGGGCGCGGCCCCAGCGCCGCTCCAGCAGCGGCGGGCGCGGAGACCAAGCCCTGGGCAGCGGAGGGGACCGGGAGAAGGGCTGAGGGAGGCCGCCAGGGCGGGCACCGCGGTAGAGCCGGAGCCTGGCCTCGCCCGGGCATCCCGGGGTCACCGCGGAGCTCTAAGGGCAGTGGCCGGGGGCTCGGGGGAGAAGAGTCGTGCCAGGCAGCCGACCGCAGCAAAGGGATGCTGAAAGGATGGAGGGAGCCAGGCGAGAGGACCTGCAGGTGGAGCGCTAAGGTGGGCAGGGGGAGCTCCCTTTGAGCTGAGGGGAGCGAGGACTGAGAAGAAAGGGCACAGGTCGGATTGAGGATCGGGGGCTGCGGGGTGTGAGTGTGGATCCTGGAGCGAAAGAGTGCGGAGCAGAGCCCTGCTGGTACCCGCGAGGGGGTCGCGGTGACTCTGGAGTGAGGGGTGGGGCTCGGGGACTGCAAGCTTGACGAAGGCCAAAGTGGGAGTCCAGTTGGGTCCAGCCAGCCTGCAGAGGAAGGGGTTGAAGCTCAGGGAAGACCCTGGATATGGGCAGGACTGGGAGACGGCACTGGGATAGAGCTGGAACAGAGCAAGGTCTCCAGGCTGGAAGCAGAGGTACCTTGAGGGAACTTGGAGAGTTTGGGGCGGGAGACTCTGGGCTGGGTTAGGAAGGAGACCAGGTGTGGTGTGAGGTGGGAAAGGTTGTGGGGTTGGAGTGTAGCATAGGCACTGTGTCTTGGTTCCTCAGAACTAGAGGAGCACAGGCTCTAGACTTCAATTACAATGCCAACTGGGGTCATTAGCAAGAAGAGAATATGGACAGAACAATTCGTCCAGTAACTCTGTTCTGGGGTCTAAGCATGGAAGAGACTTTGAGATGCTGGTGTAGAGTGGCTTGGGCTTCTCCATCCCACCTTCCCAGAGCCCAGATGGAAAGCAGTGGACAAAGGAGTGAGTGTGTGTGCATGTGTGTGTGTGGTGCACACCTGTTCTATGCCTCAAAAAAGGGGAAGGAGGCCAGCTCAACAGGTAAGAGCAAGTTGATATGCAAACTTGAGGTCCTGAGTTCAAATCCCTAGCACCCACATAAGAGCCCAGCATGGTCTTCATGCCTGTAACCCCCTGTGGTGGGGGCAGAGATGGGGTAGATCCCTGGAGCTTGATATTTGGAGCTCCAGGTTCAGTGACAGATCCTGTCTCAAAAAATAAGGTGGAGAATAACAGGAAGACACCAGACATTAACCTCTTGCATTCACATGGGCACACATAGCATGCACACACACACACACACACACACACACACACACACACACAGGTATACACAGACATATACCACACAGAATAAAAATAAAACAGAGGAAGACAGTGAAAGTTGCTAAAGGCCACGTGTGGTGGTGGGAAGCCATAATCTGTTGGAAGTCAGAGGAGAGGAATCTGGGAGAGGCAGATGGGTCAGGGAAGTTTCTTGGGCATAAAAGATTTAGATAGCTGTAAGCTAAAGCATGTCCCCATTAGAAGATACAATATGGGAAAGGGCAAAAATCTAAAGTCATCTTCAGACAATAGATAAATCTTCAGGTTTTTAAAGGATGTAATATGAAAGGAAGTGTGAGAATGAGCTCGTGAGGTTTCCTCTCCATCTCTGCAGAGGACAGAGGGCCTAGAGTGTTACAGGTGCGGAGTCAATGTAGAGCAAGTGAATAATTGAGTTGTGGGGGTGCTCCTGCCTCAATTTCTTCATCTACCCTGAGGATTGTTGTGAGAATCAAGTAGAATAATGGGGGTGATAAGAGCTTTGTAATCTGTAATGCTCTGTATGAAAGAGAAGCCTCTGTTGCTGTGCAGGTATGCCTGAATTCCATCAGCCATGGCACCCATGCCTGTCTCCTAATATTTATCAAGTCTCAATTGTGTGGAAGATAGAATACCCCCAAAGCAACTAGCTGAATGCTTGGCATTTAGTAGATGCTCAATAAGTAGTAGCTACTATGATGCTGTTTCTGTGATTTTAAGAGTCCTGGGAAAACAGTAGGGCTGGGCTAGGTTGGTAGTGATGGGTTTGCATATAATAGAGTGAGGTCTACATGCGACAAATTCCTTTTTTAATTAAAAATATATATTATATATGTATGTGTATGTGATGGGGGGGCAAGCATGCCACAGTGCATGTGTGGAGGTCAGAAGATAACTTGAGTGAGTCAGGTCTCTCCTTCCACCTTTATGTGGGTCCTGGGAATGGAACTTAGGTCATCAGACTTTGCTTGCTGAGCCATCTCACTGGCCTCGTGCTCCCTTCTTACTCCACTGATACATGCTCCCTGATGAGGAGAGAGAGTTACATTCATTGACTGTCTGCTATGTTCCATGCATGTTAAATGCATTACCCACATTACCTACAATCTTCCCAACCATGTTTATTTTACAAAGGAAGAAAACTGTGTCTTAGTCATATAAATTTTCTTTTCCAGATCTCACAGCTAATAAATGATAGAGCAGGAAAGTGAATCTAGTTTGTTTTATTTCAAACCCCAAACTACTTCTATCACTTGGAATGGCTTGCTACAAAAAAAACAAAACAAAACATGGAGCATGGAGACAAACAAACAAATAAACAAACAACAAAAACCTAAGAGGTTTTTTAGGGTTGGTGAGATGGCTCAGTTAGAGATTGCTCAGAGGATAAAGGTGCTTGACACCAAGCTTTACAACCTGAGTTCAATCCCCAGGATCCACATGGTGGAAGGAGAGAACTGACTCTTGATGGTTGTCCTCTGACCTCCTCCACATGAACATTGCACCCCACATATGCACACAAAAGTACGTAAAAATGTAATAATTTTTTAAAACTAAGAGGCTTATAAGGCATTCTTTCTTTTTTTAAATGTGTGCATGTATGTGTGTGTCAGCATACATGTGTACAGGTACATGAGTGTGCACTGGTGCACTTGCATGTGAAGGCCAGGGGGTAACCTCAAGTGTCACCCTCAGGAATACCATCCACCTCCTTTGAGACTAGGTCTCCTATTGGCCTGGGGCTCACTAATTAGGCTAGACTGGCTGGCCCTGGGGATCCTTCTGTCTGCTTTCCCAGTGCTGGGATTACAAGCACCTGGCACCATGCCCAGCATTTTTACTTAGGTTCTGAGGATTGAACTCAGGACCTTGAGCTTGTAGTGTTCTACTGACTGAACCATCTCCCCCCAAACCCTGTAAAGCATTCTTTCATACTAATTTTAATGTTTATAACAGTTATGCCAGGAAGCCATTTAGTTCACTTACTTTATACTGAGGAAACTGAGGTTTGGGGTGTGGTTTACCTATAATTACACAATTACTAAGAGAGCTGGGCTCAACCCAGATCTCTTGGACTTAATGTCAGTCAATCTTTTGACTCTGTCAAAAAGTATACCCATTCTTCACTACGTTTATTGAGTCAATTCCTTCCTGCTAAACTGCAGGACTCTTTCCTCTTCTTCCCTCTTTCCTAACTAAAGTCAGCTTCTTTCTTAGGTGTTGATTTCTGCAGCCCAGGAGACTGAAAGGGTTATTTATTTTTTTTCACAGAAACTGTTCAAGGAGACATTTCTTTCCTTTCCCCCAGCCTGGGACTAAGAAAGGCTCCCAGATTGTTCCTGGGCCTTCATCTGTATTGCTTGTCATGGAGACAGCTTTATCATTTTATGGGACTGTCACAAAAGAAAGGGAAGATTTGATTGATGCTTATCGTACAAATGCATGCACCACTGTGCAGTGACCTGTCTGCTCAGATTTGCCTCAGGCAGCTGCCTGCTGGGATGCTTTCTGCTTCTCTTCCAGATGTCTGTGCCCTCCCCCACCCCACCAGATGCCCTTAGGGGCTGCTGTCTGAACCCTTCCACTCTGCTCTCTGCCTCTCTAGGTTCTCATACCACCTACTGGGAAAGCTGCACTGTGTCCAGATAAAAAGATTTGACAGCACAGTACCAAGGGTAGTGTGTTGTCTCCACTCAGTCCTGGGGATGCTTCTTTACTCAACTTAAACTTCTTACGGTGTTTATTTTCCTTAAGCCTGGTCAAATCTGGGGGATATTAGGTAACAGAAGTTCTGGTCATGGACTGACTTGCTGTGTGAACTTGGTCAAATAATTTTATGAGCCTCAATCAAATGAAGGAGGAAGATCAGCTAGATCAGACCAAGAATTATAACTTGTATTCTTGTGGCATTCGTCTCTCTTCTCCTCATAGCAGGCATAGCTAATAAGGGATTCTACATGAGGCAACATGTATTTTTTTCACACAGTGAAAAAAGCACGTTTATATTCATTTTCCTATTTAAACATCTCAGCAGCTTCATGGGTAGACATTATTATCGGGTGAGTACACTGAGATACTGGGCAAACTGGGTCCAGTAGCAAGGCTTTCTGTTATGATAAAGTGGACCTTCCAAGATTCCTTTTAAAAAATTAATTTTTTCAATGTCTCATGTAGCTCAGGCTAGCCTCAAATGTAATATGTAGCTGAAGACGATCCACTCAATCCTCCTGCTTCCACCTCCTGAATCCTAGTGTTACATCATGCCCAGCTTCAAGATCTTTTGAGTCTATAAATTCCTGGATATGGTGGCACATGCCTATAATTCTAGCATTTGGGAGGCTGAGGCAGAAGAATGGTAAGTTCAAGACCAGCTACATAGTGAGTTCCAAAGCAATAGCCTGTCTCAAAACAAACAACAAACCACCACCACCAAAACCAAACCAAAACAAAACCATGTAAACCTGGAGAGATGGCTCAGTGGTTAAGAGCCCTTACTGCTCTTGCAGAGGACCTGGGTTTGGTTCCCAGCACCCATGCTGGGCAGCTCATAATTCCAGTTTCAGGGGATTTGACATCCTCTTCCAGCCTTCACAGGCTCCTTGCATGCATGTGCTGCATATAAGCCCACACAGGATCACACACATAAACAAAAAATAATAATTTAGAAATTGCTAAAAAGTGTAAGACCATCTTATAGAAAAAAGTAATATGAAATATATATTGGTAGTCTGGTACATGGAAAATGCTAGATAAATGTTTATTCAAAGCAGTAGAATCCCCTAAGTATTTACTATAGGTGTTGACTCTTGAAAGATAGATAAACCTTCTTTGAATTCAGAAGGGGAAGCAAGCAGTTCATTGTAAAACAGGTGCAAATAACAGAGCCCAAATGAGGGTGAAGACAGTTGAATAAGATTTGACTGCAGAAATAAGTACTGGGTAGCTTCCAAAAACCAGTACCAAATTATCACATATAGTGCTGCTGATTCTATGTATGCCACAGCTCCATGAAGTAGGTGATATTTCCCCTATTTTAGGGTAAATGAGGTGGCTTATAGAGCCAATATGATTTATCCAGGAATTCAACTGATGAATAGAACAACAATTTTACACTTTCCCTAACACTGCAGGGTATGGAGCCTACTGTCTGCCATTAGTTCTGAGGCTTGGGGGAAATCTCCTTAATTCAAATGGGATTAATAATCCCTACCCTTCAAACTTTCATTTCCAAGATTTGCTTAGTGGATAAAATAAAGGACATGAAATTGAGGTGAGAATCAAATCCATGTTTTAGTAAGCTGCTCTTGATCGGCAGTTCTCTCTCAGACTCTACCCTAGGGAAATAATTAAGAAAGCAAATAAAGAGTTATATAAAAATGTCCACTGCAGTGTAATTTATAATAAGAATAGAGGACCGGGGAGATGGCTCGTTGGGTAAAGGTGCTGGCTGTCAGTCTGAGAACTTAAGTGCAATTCCCAGAACCCATATGGTAGAAGGAGAGAACTCACTCTTGCAAATTGTTCCCTTGCCTCCACAGGTGCAGTGTGGCACACATGTGCTCCCCACCCCCACACAATAAATAAATGTAATTTTAAAAAATGTGTAAAGAAAGAGAAAAGCAAAATTAAATTATTTAAATTACTCAAAATTAAACACACCTCTCTAGAGAGTGCTAACATTAAAGGACTGAGCCTATAAAAGAGGATGGGCTATACGATATAAATACTACTGAAATGATATTTATGAAGCGTAAAGTCTCAGTGCTTTTTAAACTAAGTACTTTTTTACTTATTATTTTTATTCCATGTGTATGAATGTATTGCCTGCATGTATGTAAGTGCACCCGTATCATGCGATGCCCTCAGAGGTCAGAAGAATGCATTAGATTCCCCTGGGACTGGAGTTACTGACAGTTGTTAGCCACCATGTGGATGCTGGGAATTGAACCCAGCTCCTCTGCAAGAACAGCCAGTGCTCTTAGCTACTGAACCATCTCTCCAGCCCTAAATTAAGTACTTTTAAAATTTAAGTACTTTTGCCAAATGGTAATACACTATACATTTTAGTTTACACCTGCTATGTGTATGATTTCAGCCATTAAAAACATACTTAGAAAGTATAGACTAGAATGCATGTTATGCTATCACTTACTTATTAGTAAATGTATAAGTAGAGTTCTATTCTTGTATATACAAAGTCTGTCTCTAAAAGACACATACATTGGTCATGTTTGCCTCTGAGTAGGACCTGGGGATTGGAAGCCAGGGGTAGGAACAACACTTGATTTTCAATATAAAGCATTAGGTTCCATATTACATTTTGTGCTAAAAATTACACTTGGTGGAAATGTACTATTTATAAAAAGTAAAATTTTGGTGAGTTATTTTTAGCGTGTATTTGAAATTAAATACAATTGAACTGAAGTTTTTATGATACTTTCATAGAAGAGTTTTTCTCTTATAAACAAATAAAAATGGCTAACATCACAGTGTACTGTAGTCTGTGGCAATCCAGAGATCAGTCACCATGTCTGATTCGTTTGTAAGCCTTGCCATGCTCAGTACAAGGGCTCACCCCAGAACAAGTGCTCAGTAAATATTTGCTGAAGGAATGAATGGGAGGAGCTGCGGTTCCTCCCCAGTCCTGAGCCAACATTTGGGACAGGTACAGTGGTGGGGTGGCTCTGAGTAGTGTGTATTTCCTGTATAATACTAGAGTACAGAGTGACTATTTGAATGGCACCTGACCATTAAAGTCACACTGGCGGTGAGTTCTGGGGTGACCGCAGGTCTCTCTTGCAGATGGCTTCAGTGACTGATGGTAAAACCGGAGTTAAAGATACCTCTGACCAGAATTTTGACTACATGTTCAAGCTGCTCATCATTGGCAACAGCAGCGTCGGCAAGACCTCCTTCCTTTTCCGCTACGCTGATGACACCTTCACTCCAGCCTTTGTCAGCACCGTGGGCATTGACTTCAAGGTGAAGACAGTCTACCGCCATGAGAAGCGAGTGAAGCTGCAGATCTGGGTGAGTGCTGGGCGTTGTGGGCAGAACTGTCCAGAGATGTAAGCAGTCTGCAGACTCGGGCTCTAAGGGGGACCGGTTAGAACTCCCGGATTTTATGCCGTTTCAGGTCTGGGCCTCTGTTACCCTGTCTCTTTTGGGGGTTCAGTTGCTTCTGCCACTTAACTGTCCAAAATGCTTTATTCTGGCTTATATAAAGGGGTAACCTAGAAACTAAGTTTTAGAGTTACGGACCATGGAAACTTTACTAAATTTAATCCCTTTCTTTTGAGGGGATTGTAATATCATCTACTCATGGGTCTGCTACTCTCATGTCATTCCTGGGAGATAGTAAATGCACAAAAGATGTTAGCTATGAATTAGTTATCTGTTGTTGCACAACAAATGACTTTTTTAAACAAGAGTAATAATTTATTATCTCATAGTTTCAGTGGTTTAACATTAGGGATGGCTTGGGGCCTCTCATGAAATGTAACCAGATGTTGGTTTGAGTTGTGGTCAGCTGAAGGATTGAAGAGAGCGGGAGGATCCACTTCCAGAGTGGCTTACTTGGTGTCTTGTGCTGGCTGTTGGAGGAGGCCCTCCTTCCTCCTATCTGGCTTCTCCTGGCCCTCCTTCCTCCTATCTGGCTCTGTCTGACAGCTAGTTTTCCCCACTGTGACAGACCTAAGCAACCAAAGAAATGGCAATGTCTCTCGTGTATCCTAAAGTATTCTTTTGGTCACTGATTCATTGTGGGGCAAAACTACACAGAGGTGTGAACACTGGGAGGAAAGGATCATAGAGGACTGACAATATTGGAAGTTGAAGATTCAACTACTATTGTTATTTAACGATGGTAATAAAAAACATGCACCGAGTTCAGAAACTAGAGCAATTTGTAGATCATATACTATCTTAATAAATTAACACTTGGTTGGAAATTTTGAAAATTTGTGAAAGTATTCAAAACATGTATGTTTATTTAACCTATTATACTTGTTAAATGTACAATACTATATTGTACATATATCTTATTGGAATTTTTTACATTAGTTCTTATAAATTATTTCTTCTATATTAATATTATGATAAACATTATGAGATACAGAGTATTTTTTTGAGACAGCTCTCACTGGCCTTGGTGGCCTAGAACTTGCTATGTAGACTAGGCCGGCCTTGAACTCAGAGAGATATCCACTTGCCTGTGCCTCTGAAATTCCAGGATTAAAGGCATGGGCTACCATGCCTAGTTAGCTGCATGGTATTTCAATACAGTCCTATTTTACAGAAGAGGAAACATAAATCATTAGAAATAGGAGAAGCCATGTAAGTTGTCTAATTTATTGTTTCTCAAATTGTGGTCCAACCACATCAGCAACACTTGGAAATTTGTTAGAAATTCATATTCTTAGGCTTCACTACAGACATACTGAATGTTGGCAATGGGGTCCAAATCTGTGCTAGGAGATGGTTTGAAGGCAGACTAGAATTGGAGAACCACTGATATAGCTTAGCTGCCCTACAGTGGGAGTCAATGAACATTTATAAAAGCATCTACCATGCTACCATGTACTAGGTGCTTTCCCTTATATTATCTGACATCATCCCTGGCACAGCGAGACATGGTGATCAACATACTGAACTGGATCAACACTGTCAAAAAGATGGAGAGGCCAATGAAAGAAATCTTCACTAGTCAGATGATTGGGGGTTTGAGAGACCTGGCATAAAACACAGAGGACTACTGCCATTGGCAAGAGGACGGCCAGTGACTGACGACTGTTTAGGGAGCTGAAGAAAATATTAGAACTTATTAAATCTATAAACATACAATAAATTTTTTACTAGAATTTACTATGCAGATTGGCACAGATATCCTCATGTGATTCCTATACCAGATGATCATGTGGTCATGTATTCTACAATTGAAAAATCCTGAAGCAAGAGACATTCTCCCCTTCTAAGAGCTTCCTTAGCTCTTGGACAGTGGTGGCTTCCTCCCTCATGCTTTTGTTTACTGTGAGCTTTTGCAGTTTCCCTGTGCCTGGTAAAAGTAGATTTATTCATTATACTATTTAGTTTTAATTAAACTATCACAATGGATATATGGCTTTTGAAGAGTCCAGTAAAGAGGCCTCCAGTTGAAGACTATGCTTAGTGAGGCCAAGTGAGTATTAAAAAAAAAACAAAAAAACTGACTGAATTGATCTGTCACCAGCTTGCTGGCACAGGTTCATCATTAACCATGTTTCAAGATAAAATCAATGCCAACCTGGTTAGATCTAACTTAGTCAATCACATGGCTTTACTTAAAATTTTTTATCAAAGGATTTTTAGTTATGTGTGCTTTTATATTTTTCTGTACTGTTTACTTTAAAATTTAAATATTGTTTATTTTATTTTGATATGTGTATTTTACCTGTGTAAGTGCTAGTGAAAGCAGTGGGAAAAAGCAGTACTCCTGTGAATTTGCCAGGAGCCATTTTTAAAAGGATGGTGTCAGATACATCATAAAACCTTTCAGAAGTTTCTTCCTTTAAAAAAAAAAATATATATATATATATATATATATATTTGGCTGGAGAGCTGACACAGCTGTTAAAAGCTCAGGTTCACAACTAAGAAAAGATTTTTAATTGTGTGTGTTTTGGGGGGAGGGAGGTTGTGCACATGAATGTGGTGCCTGTTGGTGCTGGGGTGTCAAAAGAGGGTATCAGATTCTTTGGAGCTGGAGTTATAAATGGTTGTGAGTCTCCAGATGTGGGTGCTGGGGACTGAACATAGGTCCTCTGCCAGAGCACTATACATTCTTAACTGCTGAGCCATTTCTCCAGCCCTGAGTTTCTTCCTTTATATGTGAGCTCTAGGGATGGACTCAGGCCATCCGACTTGCAATCATTTGGCAGCAAGTGCCTTTGCCCAATGAGCCATCCCAACAGCCTCAGGCATCTTCTATTGTTCTCACTTTGTTTTTTGAGGCATGGTCTCTCACAAATTCCAGGAAGATAAGCTGGCCAGAGAGCTCCAGGGATCCTCTGTCTCAACTTCTAAGTGTGGAGATAACAGGCATATGCTACCACACCAGGCTTCTACATGGGTGTGGAGATCTAACCTCAGGTCCTCAGGCTTACATGGACAGCACTTTACCAACTGAGCCATCTCCCTAGCTCCTATTTTATTTTTATATGTCATATAGAAATATATAATCTATGTGTATGTGTATGATGTACCAAAATTTTTCTTACTTAAATAGATAAAAGTTTAGAGACCTCAAGGCTGGAGAAGTGGCTCAGTGGTTAAGAGCACTGCCTGCTCTTGCAGAAGACCTGGGTTCAATTCTCAGCACCCATATGGCAGCTAACAACCATACGTAACTCCAGTTCCAGGGGAGCTGATGCCCTCTTCTGGCCTCACGGGCATTTCATGTACGTGTTGCAGTTACATACATGCAGGCAAAACACTCACACACATAAATAAAATTTAAAAATTTTGGAGACCTTTACGATAAACATTAGGGGATCCATAGGAGGGCTTGATGAAGTCAGATTTGCAACTTAGAAAAATTTCTGACTTTAGGTCAAGGGTAGATAGAAATAAGAAACTGTAGTTTAGATCCAAACCCATTAAGCTGTGTACATTAAATGCTCTTTTATATATCAGTTATACCATGTGTAACCATTTAAATCTAAATAAATAAATACACTGGGTGTGGTGGCTCATGCCTTTAATCCCAGAATTTGGGAGGCAGAGGCAGGAGATCTCTTGAGTTTGAGGCCAGCCTGGTTTATATAGCGAGTTCCAGGTCAGATGGGGGTACAGGGAGACCCTGTCTCAAAAAGACTAAATAAATAGATAGATAGATAGATAGATAAATAAATAAATAAATACTATTGACCAGTATGAAAGAAAGGGAAAATGAGTGCTACCTGCAGGGTGGCACACTCTGAGGGTCTGAGCCAAGTGCACTAGTCTACTTGGGCAGTAATAGTACCACAGACTGAGTGGCTTAAACAGCAGGATTATTTTCTTACAGTTCTAGAGGCTAGGAAGTTCAAGATCTACATGCCAGCAAGGATTCAAATGACTGCCTCTTCACTGTGTGCCCACAAGGCCCTCCCCCAGCATTCGGCCATGCAGGAGAAAGAGAGTGTAAGGTCTCCCATGACACTAATCCTGTTAAATCAAAACCTAACCTTCATGCCTTATTTAACCTTAGTAATGTCCTTAGAGGTCCTGTCTCCAAATACAGCCACACTTTGAGTTAGAGTTTCAACATAGGAATTTCTAGAGGACACAGGCATTCAGTCCATCATACCGAGAAGAAACAGTGACAAGTGACAGAATAGAAATGAGAGAGACCTAGGAATTTACTAGTTTTGATGACCAATTAATTATAAAGGCAGAGAGAGTAACACACACACCCCACACACTTCACACAAAATTTCTGTGATTAAAAAAAAATCTCTGTGACTTTCAGTAGGTCAGTTTGCTTCTACGAACACCTAATATCTCCAATTGTAAAATATTACAGGGGTTTCTGGGGGGCGCTATATGATAGCGGATATAGTGTCTGCGCATATTAGGAATGTAAGAAATGTTAGGTTCTGGCTCCTGCTCCACATACAAAAGGCTACTACGTCCCCTCCCAAGTTTTCTACGGTTCCAGGAGTGCTAAAACAGCACCTGGTGACTCAGCAACATGGTATGAAGTGTTCATTCAATTCCCCCAACCCATTTGAGCTCTCCTAGGGGATTTCAGGAAGCTGTTCTCAGTGGAACATTGAGGGGTTAGGGAGGAGTATCAGCATCACTCAGCAAGACCACCCACAATGGATGTTTCTTTGTGATGATAGGGGCATTGGGAGGATCTTGCTCTCTGGTTCCCTTACCACATAGGTTTTTGAGAGTTCCCTCTGTTTCCTGAGAGGCCAGTTATGAGGATCAGAGAAGAAAATCTCACTGGGGAGGTAGAGCTAGGGGTGAAGCCTCATCAATAGGTTCAAGAGTATGCACAAGTGTGA